AATTTGGGAAGCATGTTTATGTATTGCGGTCTAAGCTCAAAACTTATTCCATTTGTTTCGGGGAGCCTAATGCATGAGGGGATTGCATTCCTAATGGGATAGCACATATCATGAAGAACGGGTGGATTAGGATGCTCCATTTCTATGATTGGTTCAAAGCGAATTAATCGATGTGTATTATCCCTAATCCACTGTTGCATACACCAAAATATTTCTTTTTATTTTTTTTCTTAAATTAGTTTTTTTTTTGAGAAGATAAAGAAAAAGAAAAATCCTAACTGAAACAAATCAAAACAATCACTTTTCAATCAACTCTAATTCTAGGGTTTAGCCTAACTCAACTAGACCAGCTCCTAACCAAAAACTCCTACAGTGAAAAGATCAAAGTTTTACCCAGGTAGTTAGCCAGGTAAGGATAGTACTAGAGGGTGATCAAAGATCAATTAAGTACCTCTTTCCTTGCGGAGCGCTTTACGCAACCCCTAAACCTTGCCTTAGACACCAACTAATCTGAGAAAACTTAAACCGGTTCACTTAAGGATTTCTTGTTCCTTATTGAGCTCGAATCCTTAGGGGCCAACGTCTAATGAGTTTTATTAGGCTTGGGTGGTGTAGTGAGGAATTAGTGATTTTTGGGCTAAGGAAAGGGTGATGAAATCCCTCACCTTATCTTGATTATGGGGTTTTGCCCTTAAAAATATTTTTAAGTGTGTGTCAAATCAAGATGCTCAAATCACTTGGTGAATTCCTACACTATATGAAATGCAACCCTATGAATTAAAAGCAACTAAAAAGGATGGGAAAAAAAAATATTTTTCTTTTTTTTTTAATTAGGGTTAACAATCAAACAAATGAGAAGGGGGGATTTGTTTGAATTTATTATCTTGTTAGTAAATGTCAAAGTGGAGGATGAATTTTATTATGGTCAAAAAAATAAAATTCTTTCTTTTTTTTAAGTCCTAATTGTCTCTAATTGTGAAGAAGTAGCTAAAGGGTGTAATTAAAAACTAGAAAGAGGACTTACCCGAAAGCAAATCTTCAAATCCTAGCTCTCCAATCCGCGATCTTCAAGCTCCAAGCGTTTCCTTCACAAAAAACACACAAGTTAAAGAACCAAAATAATTAAAACCTACTTAAGCACCTTCCCCGGCAACGGCGCCAAAAACTTGATGCGGCATAAACATGTACCAAAAAGGTTGCAAGTGCACAACCGTGTCAAGTTATAGTATTTAAGATATCGATCCCACGAGGAAGGTGTTTTGTAGGAGAAAATATAAAATCGGTTCTTATGTTGTGTGTGTGACAAGTAGGAGTGATAAGTGAATGTGATTGTGGAGAGATAGAGAGAGTGGAAGTGATAGTGTGTAAATCGGCACGAGATATAAGTGAGAGTGGATGTGACAAAGAATGAATATGATCAATAAGGCAAGAAGGAAAAGGAAAATAAAAATCAAGAATAAAGAAAATAAAATTCAAGAATAAAAGAAAATGCAAGAAATTAAAGATGGTGGATTCAATTATAGATATGGGTAATCTACAATTGAACCCACTTCTTAGAAAAGGGTGATTCCCTAGAGGGTTCTAGCCTAAAGGCGAATCAAACAAAATAAAAATAAACAAAAAGAAAAACTAAACCCAAGAGGGTTCTAGCCTCAAGGTGAATAGTATAAGAAATTAAAATCTAACTACAAAATAAAGTGCAAAATCTAAACTACAAAATAAAATTGCAAGAATTAAATGCAAGAAATTAAATCTATTCTATAAGCATGAAATAAATCTAAGGCAAGAGGGTTCTAGCCTCTTGGCTATTTAACAAGAAAATAAAATCTAAACTACAAGCATAGAAATAAATCTACACTAATAAGCAATAAAAAGGAAATAAAAGAGAAAAAGGAAAGAAAATGCAAACCTCTAAATAATTCTTCATCTCCATCTTCATTATCCAACAAAGAGAAGAAATATTTAAAGTGGTGAAAAAATTATTATTATTAATTACAACTAAAGTTACAATTTTTGGAAGGCCTTCTCAATTAAGAGTAGCCCTCCTCTCCAAAAGGAGTTTACAAAAATTTTCACACCCTAACCCCTCACTCTCTACCCCTATTTATAGTAAACATCAGTGAATGAGAGCCATTGGATTCAAATCTTATCCAAAACCAACAAAAATCAGCCATTGGATTGTAACTGCCTGGACGTCCGTATCGATACCCGCATCGATAGGGGTATCGATGCGGGCATCGATACAGGCATCGATGCGGGCATCGATGCAGGCATCGATGCCTGCTCTTCTCCTGTTGCTGTCCGCAGAACTCTTTGCTTTTGGGCTTGTGTCTTGGGCTTTGGCTTGGACTTTTGGGCTTGGCATTTTGTCATTTCTTTGCGGCCAACCATCTTGAATATAATTTCTCTTCATATTGGATTTTTGATTTTCTCCGGCTTCTATAAAGGTTACAAAATGAGGAAGTTGAAGTCTTTTAGGCTTTTATTCATTATTTCTTCATTAACCTGCAATAAAAACAATTATTAGTGATATATTTATTCATATAAAATAGATAATGAGGGTATAAAATTGTAATAAAATGTGATTATCAATTCTTTATGATATATAAGCTATGCACTCCAAATTCTTGTGTCTTTTATAGAGCCAAAAAGTTTGAATACGAGCCTCTAACATATTGCTCTCACAATATCAAAATTCATTTAGCAGATGTGGATATTTCAGATGAGTTATATGCCCTATATATAATATAATTCTCCTAGACAAGTGAGTTATAATGCTAATTTCGTAAGAAAACAATTCTTCATACTTCTAGTTTTACTTCTATGATACATAGAATGAGCTATAAAATTGAATGAGATATTAGATAATATAAATATAAGTGAAACCACAACTAAAAGTTAACATGAATACGAATCAAATCACAACTAAAAGCTTAATGGATATATTGCAAGTAAATTCATATGCAGAATTTCTTTGTGAATCGAATGATCACTCATCTTTTAAAGACTTCAAGATACTAATAAATAGAGATGTTGTACTAGATAAATATATTTATAACTCACAAATAGTAGATCACATGGCCACAGTCTGGATTGAAGGAAACAATGATAATATTTTATTTGAGAGAGAGATTATTGAGTTGATGATCAATCCCACAAAAGAGTTTTAGCCAGCTGGTTGAAAGTAGATCGAAATGTTAAATAAAAGATAGACAGGTCAATTTTTAAAAATAAAGTTAAAAAATGATTGGCTTTGGAAATTTGTCCTAATTTTGGTTGTTCTTCTCTTTTAAATAATTGTTTAGATTTTTTTTAATATTATGTTTATAGTTTTCTAGTTTGAAATTGAATAAAAAGTGAAGTAAATAAGAGAATTTTTTATATATATGATAAATATTTGAATGGAAGCTATTATCTATATAGTTATCTAGTTTGAAATTTAAAAAAGTTTGAGGTAAATAAGAGAATTTTTTCTATATATCATATATATTTGAATAAAATTATACATAAATTTTCTATCCTATGAGATAAGATTCAAATTTATTTACTAACAAAATTAATATTAAATCATGTTGTATCACAGAAATGACTAAGTATTAATCTCACTCCAGAAGTCAACACGTGTTCCGAGTAAACTATACACCAAATTGACTCACCCTATATAGGATGAGTCAACACGTGTTCCAGAAGTCAACACGTGTTCCGAGTAAACTATACACCAAATTGACTCACCCTATATAGGATGAGTCAAAAAATGTCATCACTCGGCCATTCCCAAGAAGGGTCGAGTCAAAAGGCGTCCTCACACAGATCCTGCTATTAAGGCTAACTCTATACCCAAGGAGATGATTTGGTTGACTGGATGCCTAGAAGAGTTGAGTTTGAAGCAGGGGAACGACGTTCTTTATTGTGATAGCTAGAGTATTATACATCTTACCAAAAATACAGTATATCATGTCAGAATGAAGCACATCGACGTACGTTACCACTTCATATGCTCACAGATTGAGGACAACAAGTTAGAGTTGAAGAAGATTTTGGGGAGCCAAAATCCTACGAATATGTTGACGAAAGTAGTGATCATCGACAAACTGGAGTTATGCGCAACTTCAGTTAGCCTTCACGCGTAAGAGAAGAAGGTGGAGTCATACTAGGAGGATAGGCGGGATTGTCGGGTTGATGATGATTGAAGAATGGATTTTTTTTCGGGTAGGAGAAGTTGCTTGCGAAGATGACGGGAGTTCGGGAGAGCTCGTTGATGACGGTTTCGTCTCCAAGTGGGAGATTGTTGGTTTTGGAAGTGTGAAGACTAAAACATGCATCAAAATCAGCTAGGAAGCCGTTTAATCCAGCATCTGTCGACCGATGGACGAGTGTCGGTTGACCGAAACGACTACAGGAAACCAAACCTAGAAACATGTTCTGGCCGGTCGACCAACGCAAGAGCACTGGTCGACTGAAAGGTGCACCAAAAACCCTGTAGAAAACAGGGTTCTGGCCGGTCGACCAACGCCAATGCACCGGTCGACCGACGATGGGATTTCCAGATTTCTAATTTGTTAAGGAAACTATTTTTTTGGGCTGAGTTCATAGATATTTCCTAAACATTTTAGGGTTTGTAGAACACGAAAAAAGAAGATTTTGATGGCACTTTGAGATCAAAGATCTTAGAGAGAGGCATATCGCGAGCATTGTAATCTTCTTCAATTAATCAAAGTTTTTTCGTGTGACTCACGAGGACGTAAGCACGTTTGCCGAACCTTGTTAAATTTGGTCTTCTCTGTTTGACTATTCTTTCTTGTAAGTTTTTCTTTTATTCATTGTGATTTCCTGCTTGCTTACTTTCGACACAAGATCCGAAAGGGCACGAGTTGTGTGTTCAACCCTAACACTTTTGCATAAGCTAAACGGCAATCCAATAGCAAGTTTTGTGTTTATCTTATATACATAAGGACATCCAAATGCTTGCTATGGAGATAAAAACTCGGTTTAAGCTCACGAAACTTCTATACTCACATTAACCAGAGATGAATAAAGACTATTACATGATAATACGATGAAGGATTAGGCGAGGGGCAGAGCCCTAACAACGAAAGGGTTCATATACAATCTTCATTTATTCAGGAGCCAACACACTGGCGGAATTATAATAATATGTGAATTATTAGTCTTAAGCTAATTTTAGATATTAATTTTTTGTTGAATACCTCCTGTCACAAAATGACTTGATCCTATCACAAGCCTCTGCTAAGAGAGAACCCGGAGCTCCGAAGAATAGCCTGACCCAATTCTTCAGGCCAATTACAGTACCTAGGAAAAACAAAAGAGTTTAAATTAATTAGAATCATAGAAACTGTGAAGTTTTCTGGGAGAATTTGCATTAATCGTTAAGAACAATCCATGACCATGACCCCCCAAGTTTCTATTATGAAAAAGAATCTAACAGCGAGAAAAGAACATGAAACCGAATCATTAATGATTTACAGAATCTCTTGAAATCTTTTAAGGTATTTGAAATAAGACCAAAATCACAAAAAATAATGCCCTACTGTTGTGCCAAGTAAAGGAAAATAATAAGGATAATTCAGTCATCTAGAACCGATTAATTGTATAGACAACGCTGTTACTTAGGGGACGTGCCACTTTTTACTTCTAAGCTTCGCATTAGTATTTTGATCACTTGATGCGAAAAAGGTACAGAATTATCTACATCTTTATATGCACATACATCATGTAGTGTCATCTGGCATCAATGTATACAGAAAGAGCCATAATTCTCTTATCATGGTTGGGAAATACATCGCCTATTGTCCATTATCCTACTTTATCCCACTCAAATTGTTCTAAGGGGTTAAATTGGCCCAATGGAACAATTGTCCCACTTGACCCCGACTTGTCCCGATGAATAAAACCCCATGAACGAAGTCTAGGAATAAAAAGTGACTACTTCCCCAATAGTTTCCAATAGTTCATGAGGTGTGTTTGTAATTTACCCTTATGAAAGATACTGAATCAATATATTGGAGATTAAGGGAGGAGTATACATATGTATAAGGAACATTCAGCTTCAGATTATAATTCGAACCTGGTAGAACCAAAACAGACTCTTCTTTCATCAACTCCTCAGCAAACTCCATATCATTTCTGATACCAAGAAGACAACTTGTATCTACCTCCACCTGCCACAAATTTGAACAAAGTTTTACATCTAAATCAACCATATATATAACTTACTAATATACATCAAATATTATATATTACCATCATGAACATGGAGCCTTGAGGCCTTGACTGACATTTCAATGCTTTTATCTGATTAATTCTCTCATAGAGAGTATCTGCTGAGGATTCAAGTGTTCTAAGCACATTCTCGTGGAACTCTTCATGGGCATTTGATAAAATCTTAGGAACTGCCGCCTGTTGCAGGATTTAATCGGAATAAGAACCAGTAAATTATTATTTTTCCTGTCAATTGAAAAAAAAAGATCTACTCGAACCTGAATTACTGAAGCTGGACCTGAGCTTACGTTCATGAGCATTTCAATCGCGTTTCTAACCTATAAAAGTACAAGAAGTATTAGGTTGTGTCAAATTTGTACATCGAACTTTTGAAGCATCAAAACATCGAAACATATCATTAAGAGAGAGAGCCAAACATACACTCCAATTGTTTCATGATTCTATTCAATATCTTTGATCCAAAGCAACTAAAAAGAGTTTCTGAATAATTAAGCAATCTAAACTCTTGACTGTATTTTACGAAATTTTGTTCCTTACTTGTGCAAGGGACCCACGAGGATCACAAATGGCTACCCATCCAAGGCGCCAGCCAGGAACCATCCAACGCTTTGAGAGAGAGCCAACGTTAAGGATCGGAGCCAAGTGAGCGAACGATATCATAGGAAAAAATTTGCTGCCACCGAAAGCCATGTGGGCATAAACTTCGTCGGCAATGATCGGAATGTTCAGGGATCCAGCTGTTTCAGCAATCTGCAATAAAATTAAGATAAATATTCAATGAAAACACTGAATTATATGCATTTTTTAAATCATATTATGATATTAAATCACAATGATATGGTATTGAGGGTAAATAGTTACTGAAAAGCCAGTACTAATTTAAGCAGGGAAATCACTCGAGCTGTCAACATTTCAACTTTTTTAAAATTTACGATTAATTTGTCTTTGTGGGTTTAGAAACAATTTAATATCAAGTCCCGTGCATCATACGGGATTAAAACTAGTCGGTTACTAATTTAACCCAACTCTTTTTACAAATAAATTAAGGTTTGACAGCATCTAGTACTTACATCATGCTTCTTCATATATAATCAAGGTTTGGACATTCTTGTCCTTCAAACATTAGTATCAACTTAATGTCGTTTAACCAGTTAAAATTGACAATTAGTTCAAATTTTACAAACTGCTGATAGCATAAGGGATATCCAGAAAATATGCAAAAGTTAAAAGTAACATAAATTTCTAAGAAAAAACATAGTTCATGATAAGACTATTTAATTTATCCGATAAAAACAATAAATTAAAGGGAAAAAAATTTAATTACCTGATGGAGATGATTTGCAGAATAAACGGCCCCACACGGATTGTTTGGGTTAATGACCACGAGCCCAACCGTGTTACAATCAACCAGAGCCCGAACCTGGTCCAGGTCGACCTCCCACGACCTCACCGGCTGCAGGTCGTAGTACCTGGGCTCGATCCGGAGCAGGTCGCACGCAGACTCGTACAGAGGGAACCCCGGGCGCGGCAGCAGGACGTTGCACCCTCCCCGGGCGTCGCCAGCACCGTCATGCTCACCTGAAGCGCCTGATTCGCGCCGGACGTCATGAACACGTCGCGCTCTTGGAGGCTGATCAGGGCCCCCGTCGACAGGTGCTCCGCCACCGCACTGGTGAAAATATATTTAGACTCATGGTTCAAATTAGAATTCAATTTACAGTTTCTATTTTTATTTTATCACATATATAATGTTCACGCCACCGTTAACTAGTATGTTTAAAACAAGGTTTAATTGCAAACAGAGCCCCTCCGCATCCCCCAGTTGTCAATAGACCCACTGCAGCTGCATATGTACGCATAGACCCCCTTGTAGTATTGACTCAATTGCTGCGAATACATCCTTTTAGTAAACTTTTTCAACTCTTTTATGAGCAAAAAAAAAAGCAATTGGAGGTATATCCTTAGAAAAATTCTTTAAGGACCCAAATGATAGCCAACTCATTATCTAATAGGCGGGGGACAGCTCACTTGTCCCCTTTATTGGTCTCATATTTTGGGTCCCTGTAGCAAAGCTTATATCATCACCACAACTATAAGGGGTCGATGCGCCTCCTCAAAACCTTTTTGACGATTTTAAGAGTCACAAAAAAATATCACTCAGGAGGGTCTATTTGTACAAATAAAACTACGGGGGGTCTATATGCAACAAGGCGATATGCCAATAGTAAAAGGGGGTTCGCAACTAACCCTTAAAACGATTTTCAATTTAGTTTTTTGGGCAATTATCAACTTATAAGCTATCTATCATATGGCAAGGGCAGCTGATACGCTTTGAAGTTGAGACGTGGACTGACGGAAGCAGTACACTATGGGAGTAGAGTTCCTATAATAAGAACAGGAGAAGACTACGATGCGAGGATATCTGCACCACACGTGTTTCATGATAATTACTAAAATGCCCCCCATGATTGGGGATGGGGGCATTCCGGTAGGGTCCGTACTCCTATAAATTGATGAGTCACGCTATGGACACACCCTCAACCACACTCTCAGCTATAACCCCCACACTCTCTATAGTGCTAGTGGGTCATGCATGATATTTTTGAAAAAATATCATGCATGGCCCACTAGCACTATAGAGAATGTGAGTGTATGGTTAGGAATATGGTTGTGGGTGTGCCCCTGGTATTATTTTAAATTGATTAGTTGGCGGTTGAGTAGCAATGAGAGGCAGCAATTAATGAGCCTCATTATGTGGTTATTAAAAAAATAGATCCTACAGAACTAAAACCAAAACGTCATTCGTCCAAGTGCGTCACTTGCCCCCTTGGGGCTCAATATGCTCCTAATTGTGTGGACCTATTGTGAAAGGTGGGTCCCAATCTCTTTTTTTTTTTATGCCAGATCTCTATAAATAAATGATTTCGAATAGACACCTCAACAACCACAGTATCCTCAAGGATTCTTTTGATGCAAGTCATTTTGGATCCTTGATTGTTCGAAATTAGCATCTCAAATCAAGGAAATTGCTATCAGGCCCCCCAATTACAATTCGCTTCAAATTATTGCCCACGGTTTGCTGGCACGGGAGCACTTGATTTGGAGGGAATATTCCTTTTAGGTGAACTTTTCGGCATAGAATGTTTGGTTATAATGTTTGGTTATACTCTCATGGGACAGGGGAGGGGACACGCGAGGTGTCACCTCTCCATTGCTCCATGCAGTGTTCATGAACAGTGCATGGAGCAATGAGAAGGAAACACCTCACTTGTCCCCTCTCCTGTCCTATGGATTTGGATCCCTTACTCTTCGTATATTTCTGTAACATGATGTTGTATTGATTTTTTAAGTGTAGACTAGTCTTAATAAGAATGAAATCATACGTACGTACTGACAGCATCATGTAAAAAAGACATGTAATAAATGCGCCTATCAAGTTGATAAGCTCTTATGGCAGGATAAGCTTATCAAGTTATCAACTGATGTAGATAACTATATATGGTTGCTTTATTATGGAACTGATCCCTTCATGTGATGACGGTACACAAAACATGTGAACGTTTTTCCCAACTAGGCCCTACATGTTTAAATGCTTACAATCAACTTTTTATTTTAATATTATGTACATCGCTCTAATTTTTAAACAAAAAAACAAGGCAATTTGGAAAATTTTATTAGGAAACAAGCAAAAACTAATTCATACATAAGCCGTAATAATGAAAAATGATAATCGACAAAAAGTATATAAAACTATCAAGCAGACCACTTCAAGCTTCCTTGTATACACATTAAAGGAAAATTATGTGCGTTAGCCTGTGTGGTTTAGATGAGGGCATGCAGCGATCTAGAAGTTCCATGCAAATAATAATAAACGACTACTAAGCAACTATATGAAACCAAAAGAAAATTAAGAAGTCAATAACATACAAAACGTAGACAAAACCACATAACACAAACGCATCATATCTTTTCTTCAGTGAAAGATTTAAACTTTTAATGAGCCGCCTAATATTAAGAAGAAAAACTTTAAAATACATTGTTACATATAGAAAGGCATAGCTTATACAAGAATTAGAATTCTCATAAGCAAGTACAGCTGTTTGCTAGCTATTTGGTTATAATTGTTTTGAATACAGTCAAGTTAAATCATATACAACTTTATTATAAAGTTGAGGGCTATAATTACGAAAAACTAATGATAAAATATAAATAATATGTGGTATATATATATAAGACTTGATATTAAACTAGGGCAAAAACTGAGCAAAAAAACTTGGTTGCCTTGTTGTAAACTATTGATAGTTACGACCTAGTCGTACCCTGACTCTATGTAAAAAGTAAAAAAAAAAAAAATTTAACCCGCAAGCCTACCCAAACCCCTTCAGATTTTTTGATATGGTGGCAAAAAGACCTCTGATACATGACTAATCAGTGCCAGGGACCTTCGACGCACTTGGCTCAAACCGTTGAACGGAACTTCAGGAGTTTTGGTGCAATGGCAGAGATACTTGACACACTGTTTTCTTTTTTAAGAGCACATAACATGCAATCCTACACTATGATGAAAGTGTTGTTACCAGGTGATCGAACACCTTGTCTATGTACCTTAATTTGTTCACAAATAATCAGAAAACAGATGAGCGCTCACCGGCGGGCGATACTAAGACCAAAGGATGGGGCGTAGCAGTCTTGCTTGGCGGACGACACAACTGCGGCAACCGCCTCCGTGAGGGCCTTCTTCCCGGTGGTGAAGCAAGCGTACGAGGAGGCGTCGCCGACGGCGAGGGGGATCAACTTCTTCTCTTGGTTGGCGCGCGTTAGCAACTCCCCGACTACTCCTCTTATGGTGAGCCTATTTGGTAGTAGGCTAGGGTTGCATTTCGTAACCCCAGCTTTGCCATTGCCATGGAGTGCTGCTGCATTATTGTTGCTCCCATTTCTTGATATTTTGATCTAAAACAAATTAAGAACAAGATGGCTGGAAATTAATTAATTAGATGCAATGGAATTAAGAAGATAAATAAATTTAAAAATTGACATAGTTTTACTTCTTGAGTTGTCGGTGCCATGAGCAAGAAGAATATAAAAGAGAAGCAGGAAACAGTAATTGGAGATGACACAATCTCTCGTTTAAGCTTTTTTTGGTCTTTTGTAACACGAGGTGGGGAATATATAGGCACCAGAGAGGGAGACAGTAGGGCTGAGCATGGTTCGGTCCAAACTGAAAAAACCGACCGAACCAATCTGAAAAAATCGGTTTTATGAGTAGGGCGGTTCGGGTCGGTTTGAAAACTTTTCAACCCGAACCGACCCAAACCGACCGAATATAGTGTAATACTACCCATTCTGATCTCAAACCCTACCCGACCCGTCTCCAAAGAGTCAAAGACTCAAACCCTAAACTCATTTTCTAAATCATTATGGGTTAAAAATAATATTATTATATTAATGTTTAATGCTTTATAATCTCCTACTTTGTTGATATCTTTTTTTCTTTAACACAGTTTGTTGTTTGATAAGAAGTTTGATGAAGTTAGAACCGAACAAACCGAACCGAACCGCACTGAATCGACTTGCAACCGTTCGGTTCGGTTTTGAATTATAGGCGGTTCGGTTGTTCAAATTATGGTAAAAACCGAACCGAACCGACCATTGCACACCCCTAGTAGATAGGCATTTTGTTTCTTCCTTTCGCTAACTTTTTTTTTTTAATTTTTTATTTTTTGGAGAAAGGAAAATTAGAGAGATCCATACAAAATGAAAACTTCTTGACTCTTTAGAATTGGGAGTGATTTGGAAAGTTCCACATGGCTTGCAAAGATCCCAAATAAATGATGGTAGATGTAATTATTGTTATGATTATTGAATACGCATCTTATTTGTATACAAACTGTGTGAAGAATATTTATTGAAGATCTTGACAAAAATGAGTATTACCTGTCATTTAATATTTGAAATTGCATGTCAGTGTGTCACACGCCTATTAAAAGATCACAAATATGCATGGCATATATATAAGTCCAAAATTAACATATTCGATCATGTATTTAAATTAATAGTTTAATCAAATGCAAAACTGAATCACATCTCTTATTTTTGTTAGGCCAAACCTACACATTAAACTGAATGAAATCCGGAAACCTAGGAGTTGTGTTGGATGCAAGATCCCAAGAGTATCTGAGTGATTATGAAATGCAAAGAGAAATATCATCTTTCAGAAAAAATTCGGGTTGATATAAGAGCCTGTTTGGTTCATTTCCTCAACAAAAAAGAAAACACAAAACCATGCTCAAATCCATTTCAGAGGATTTTTCAGATTTGATTTTTTTGATTTGTTTCGCCTTGAAATCATTGGTTGTAAAGTAGCATTGTTTCCCATTTTTTTGGTTTGTTTCAACATCCAAAAATCAAGAAATCTGACCCATTTCAGCCACTTTAGCCACTTCGGGTCTCGAAAAGGTGAGCGGGATAATATTTTATTCCTCATTAAATTCATTTCTCACTCATTTCAGCCACTTCAGATCTGAAATGGGTTTTCTTCAAAAACTGACGTGGCACCCTATTTTTCTTCAAAAATTTCTCGCAATTCACCCTAAAATATAATTTCCATTCTTGCTCCTACCACAAGAGAAACAATTAAAGCCGTGATGCTTTATTTCCAACCGCAAAAAGACACTATATATAGAGTGCCAAATAAAGAAAGTTGTAAGCGTAAGTTTTTGCCCATACTCGATCTTTAAATGAGCCAAACCCAATAAAATCCGAGCTAGTCATGTAGGCCAAACGCAATAAAAGTCTGCTATGTAATAATCAATGTAAGTTGCAGCCTCAATAACTTCCACCTAACTAGTTCACACAAATTATTGATACAGGGTTGACTAGCTTTCTATAAAAAAAATGAGGTTGATTCTTATGGCATCAGCATGTTTTGAAAAACATATACAAAGTACTAAAAGCCACTTCAGGATATCATTTTTCACATGCATTTTACAGATTATATGTACTTTTATTTATTTGAGAAGAAATTTGCAAAATAGACCTATCTTGCTAAATATTTAGCAAAACAGACCGTTTTACTAAATATTTAGCAAAATAGACATCTTTTTGACCAACAGGCCGAAAAGAGACTGATTTTACAAAACAGACCAAATAGTGATTCACAAAACAAACAAGGGGAAATTTACACAGATGGTCCTCTCAAGGCAATCATACTCAACTAAGTAGACTATAACACGTCTCAGTTGTAGTCATTATCTTCAAAATTCTAGTGCAAACAAAGCATTGAACCAAAAACAAACAATACAAAAACCAGCATAGTCATTATCTTCAAAATTGATGCTGGAACAAATCATAAACTAGACCTCCCAGTTCAAATTCTGTAGAAAACTTCCGACATCTAGGAAAGTACTTCTTAATTAATTAATTACGAGAGATGTAGATGAAAAGGACAAGTCTAGAAACAAATGTTTGATTTCTTACCTTCATAACATGATCAGGTAGTAAATATTTTTCAAGAGATAGTTACAATTATACTAATAACATATTTTTTTTTAAGCAGATGATTAATTAACTAAATATACGACGCTAGCTTTAATCATGAGAGATGTAGATGAAAAATACAAGTCTAGAAACAAACGTTTTCTTACTTTCATAAAATGATCAGGTAGTAAATATTAACTTAATATATTGTTGATACCTAAGTCTCAATAAAACCATTTTTTTTATCAAAATCATATAATTTTTGTACTTCCATATATATCTTCCATTGAAAAGAATCAAGAAAGTACGAAAACGCCACTATCTAAAAAGATGGCTCTTTGTGCATTTCTTCATTTACAAATAGACAACTCGCACCAGCTACTCGATCAGTGATCAGATATCATAGTATAGTTTGCAAACCACACATCCAAAACTTGAATCACAGACATAGCCCTCTACAGAAAATCATATAGGAAGGAAGGAGAAATACGCGTACGCTTTCGTTGATGAACTACAAACTAGATGATTTAATTTGGTGATTCTTGTGATGTTTATATTGATTTACCACCTTATTTACATTGGCTTTTAAATCATTTACGCTGATAATTATTGTTTACGCTGGTTTGGTTTTATGTGTGTTACCTCTACAGAGGGTCCTCGTGATTGAACGTGTGCCCAGAACCCAATACCAATTTGCATCTAGCATTGCGAGCGAGGTGGTCTGATCCATACAGAGAGCACTTAAAAAAGGCTCCAAACTGCTCTCCTAGAGCTAGGCGCATATTGGCTGCACCCGACCCTAGACCTTACTGGTAACTGTCACTCCATGCTCTAGATCTTCGGGGGGGGGGGCGGTTGAGCGTGGGCCCAAAACCCAATTAATTAATGGTTTTTCACTAATAATTGTACAACTTGGTTACATCATAATAAGTGTTGGACTAGCGGTCCATATATCTAATGTAGGGTTGAGCCCAACTATACTTTAATTAGGAGACAAAAGATCCTTCCATACTATTTACATATATATATTAACCGATCCCTGTGTGTGAACCGCGTGCGTGTATAAAATAATTCATTTTCAAAATGTTATGTCAGCCTCAAGTATTTGATAGTCTCATATATACTAATTTCATCTTTACCTCTCTCTTTTATACATTTTTATCTTCTCTCCTTTATACTTTTTATTTGTATTTTTTTTTGTCCTGTTAATTAAGTAAGACCATCATATATTTGATTTAGAATTATCATTTTTATCTTTCATTGTTTGCAGAAAATAAGACTCTCAGTGTAGACCAGGCATTTTCTGTTTCTTCGTGACGTAACAAAGTGATCAATCTGATCTACAAGTTTGAACTATAAGTATATAGCGCAATTTTACATTTAAATTGCATCCTCTCGGAATTATTTATAACATAGAACTATAATTTAATATATCCTTGATTATTCAACAAATAAGTCTGTATGTATAATGCAAAACCAACGATTTAACGTATCCTCGATCATTTTGGCCAATTCGTCAGTTGAAGGATTAAAAATGAGATACCAAATGTAGGACTAATTAACATCTTAAAGATTGAGATGAAAATGTTGTTCTAAGGATCATTTTACTCTTAAGAGTTGCATTGTCATGCTCATTTAATATGACAAAAATTGATTAGACATCTCAAAAAAAAATTGGTTGATGGTCCCAATCATCAAAATGGAAAAGGCTAGGTAGACAAAACCATTCGACAACCGATATCATTGTAATAGAAGGATTTAATTGCAAAGAAAATTGCAACTTAGAGAGATCTTAAGGTAAATGAGGAAACAAATTGCAAATAAAGACTATGCACATAGTTACTCAAACCGCATTGCCTAAATCCGTTTGGCATTCTAATGGCTTTGCAAAAATTGCAAAGCCCTGAGGCCGGGCCCCCACTTATAGCCCGCAACATTAAATTGCTACACTACACGGGCCCAAGCTAAAATAAATTCTTATGGAGAGGAATTAGCCCAAACATCCACCAAGGGAAAGTTGCTCACCAAGTCAAGCCCACAGAAGTAAAAGAGTTTCCTCATTCATAAATATGTGTTCCTAAGCTAAAAGGGAGGCGCTACAGGCACACCATCAGGCACACTACCAACCACACCCCCTCTCTATCTACAGTGCATGGGGCCTCACATCAGATTTTTAAAAAAAATCTAATGTGGGCCCCTGCACTGTAGATAGAGAGGGGGTGTGGTTGATGGTGTGTCTGAGGATGTGCATGTATCATTTTTCAAGCTAAAATGCTATCGAGTCATGACCATCATACTTCAATTCAGTATCAGCTGTGAGATATAAAGTGTATAGATGATTGGACGTTATATTTGAGATTTTTTGAGATTTTGCATTAACATGAAAAAATGAATAGTTATAACAAAGAGTTTTAGAATAAATTAGATTACATATCTTTAAATCTATTATTATAAATGTTAATGTTATATTCTTTAATTCGATACTTCAAGCCCATCATTTTATGTTTCTGAAAGTTCAAATTTTCAGAGATTTGTTTAGTAATTAAAAAGAAACCTCAATATTTGTTGTTCACCATTGTATTCCATTCTAAAAAATGATTAGGAAAAACCTTTAGTTTGTATTTTATATACAAAATTTTCCTT